CACACACACACACACACACACACACACACACACACACAAGCAGAGTTGCCAAGTCCGTGTATATACGCGACTTTGGGCTTCTTCTTTTGTAAAGTTGTGTGAATTTTTTTTTCCGGGTTGCGGTGTTTTGGGTTTATTTTAAAAAATATGGTTGCTTGTTAGGAAAACCCGACAAGCAACTTCGTTTCTTTTCATTTATGTTCACTGTATTCTCAAATGCATTGATTGACACTCTGTCTGCTCACAGTTAATAGCCAATCAGTGCAAAAATATAAGTGCTGTAGCGTAATTTGTCAAATATTCCACCCCCTCCGCACGCGCCTTCTTTTTGAACGTGATTTTTCTTCAATGAGGGTGACACTGTAATCCAAGCGATGATAGTAGTAGACGTAGAGGAGTGGGATTACTTTTTTCCTTTATAAGGCAGTCTAATTTAAAATTTTTACAATGTTTTGTAATGTATAAATGATCACGGGCTGTAAAAACAAACACAAAAAACAAGTAGGCCTATACTAATGCTAAGAGTAGATTTGGTTCGAATAGCCAATATTTTAGTAGGCTATAAATATGTGGCTATACAGCTCCCCTTTGAAGCTGTAGTGTTTTTCCTCCTTTTCCATCGGTCCAATCCTGTTCTGCTCACAGGTGATTGGAGATGAGTTTTGTTCCTGCTTTGTTGCAGTTTGATGATTTTTGTAAAATACCGTAACTTATGTTATTGCTTTTCAGATAAAAGGGTAGTTTCAGTTTTATATGTTGCGGGCTCATTTATTGGTAATAAATAATATTGATGATAATAAATTATCAAAAAATATTGGGCTTGTTTTTGAAGCTGCGGTTGCTTATTTTTCTCGCGAGAGTTGGCAACAGTGCACACAAGTCGGGTGAGAGAGAACAAAGCTAATAGTTGTGGGACTCCAGTAAGTCTGTCAAGGCTATTTTATTCACTTAAACATCGGATGAAGTGATTAGTTTCTCTTTAATACAGATGATGTCAATGTATTTTTCGATGAGCCTGCTATGTTAGCAATAATAACGTTACCTGCTTGAGGGAAAGGGTTGCCAGGTTTTCACAACAAAACCCACCCAATTGCTCATCAAAACTAGCCCAAACTATCCGCGTTCCGGGGGCTAAAATACACGGTATCGGGGTTGCTTCAACCCACGGACATGAAAAAATCACTGCGGCAACAGTGATTAAGTAGCTCATTTCCGCGGTAAAACCGAGGACTTGGCAACACTGTGACCCATAATAAGGTCTACAACGGACACGAGCGCTGTCGCGGCGCGACCACATCAACTTTAAGTTGTCTAATTTGGCACGGTCTCCCTGCTGCAGTAATACACTGAAAAAAAATATTAATTTAATTTACACAATTTTTTAAGGTAAGTGGTTGCAATCAATTTATTTTAGCTACATTTAAAGGGGTCATATGATGCGATTTCAATTTTTCCTTTCTCTTTGGAGTGTTACAAGCTCTTGGTGCATAAAGAAGATCTGTAAAGTTGCAAAGACTAAAGTCTCAAATCCAAAGAGATATTCTTTATAAAAGTTAAGAGTCAGCCATGCCTACCTAAAACGGCTCATTCTAACACGCCCCCACATGTCTACCTCACTATGTGGAAATATTAGCATAATGCGCCCAAATGTTCACGCAAAGAAAGAAGGCATAACTTTTAGTCTCACTGTAGTATTGTTGGGCATAGAGGAGAAACAATAATGTACAGTATGTGGAAAATAACGAGTTTTTTTTACTTTAAACCGCATAAACATTTCATTACACCAAATAATGTTCTTTTTAGCAGCAGCATATGACCCCTTTAAATAAACAAATTTAGTTGACTAACTTTCAAGATGTTTTTATTTTTTAAATGTAAAATAAAGGGTTTGCAACCACTTACCTTTAAAAAATGTAGTATAATTTTTTTCAGTGTAGTAGTAAGCCATTCCTCTGTGTATACATATCCTTACAAGTACTATTTTAGCTGTATTATTTGTGTCCCCTTCAAAAATTGCTCTTGAGAAATGTTGTTTATTGTCTCCCCCCCCTCCCCCCCCGAAAATGAATCATTCATAATACTCACCCTCATGTGCTTCCAGACTTGTATGACATTCATTCCTCCATAAAAAAGGGTACTTTAAAAATATAAAACTATTGAAATTTTTTAGGTGAACTTATTTTAACTCCTCAACTTTTAAAACATAAATAAAATTAAATAAATAATACAAATACCATCAAAATGAAAATTCTTTACAGGCACAATTCATAGTACTGTAGCCATTTTATAACAACAACAACAAAAAAACTAAATATAAACAGACCAATATGCATTGAAAAGCATTTTTACAAAAACACACTGCACAAAGTCCCATCTCTTAGCTAAATTTCCATAAAATAAATAGTCATGAACAAATCCATAGTATTTTACAAACAGACTCTTTTGTCAACACAGCGTTGACGACACGGTTCAATAAACGAACCCCTGACTTTTCAAACATATCCAATGAATCACACAGGACTTGTGCAACTAACATTTCCTTTATAAAGACATAACAGGGCATTGTCTACTTTAACTAAAATGCTTAAAAACACAAAAAAAAAGGAAAAAGATGATGAGGGGGCAAACCCCTTTATGTAAAATAAACACTGATATAAGTTAAAAAGGTCTAATTACAATAAGTTACATTCCTGCAGCGAATCGTGACTGTGATATGACTCCTGATGAGAGAAACAAACAAGTGAGTGTTTTATGTCCAGTTTTGTTCAAATGTACACATATTAGTCCACATGCTCACATACAGTCCATAAACATCCATTCCTTTCTCTGGAGAAACCATCTGAGGTCAAACCAGTGTCTCCTGCAATTTATGGCTGTTATGAGTTTATTTCTTAATGTAAAAAAAAAAAGCATGAAATTAAGTGTCTGTTGGGTGAAAACTTGCCTGGGTCATATTCCATAGATAAAATTATTAATGTATTTCCACTCTCAATAATATTGCAAAGTTTCTGTATTACAATATATTTTTTAAATGTATCACAATAATAAAAAAAAAAACACTCAAATGAGTACAATTTAAAAAGAAGTAGAACAAATGCAATCATAATGTTAAAAAAGTTAAAACGGTTTAAATAATACATATTTTTTGCATTACAGTAATGAGAAAGCTCATCTTAATTAGCCTTTTTTATTTTTTTTTTTTAAAGGAAAAATGCTTATTTTTGAAGAAAATAATAATGTCACAATGCAAAAAAAATCTTAGTAGCCCTAAAGTAGGATTCATTCAGTAAATGATTCGAGGTAAAACATGACCCAGACATATCCTCATTGGGTTTGGTGAGCTTAACTGGTTTAGTGGTTGTAAAGGTTTTATAAACTCACAAATACTCCCTCTTATAGCAGACGGCCACCTCAAAGCGGCAGTGACCGGTGGACTTCACTCCTCTCTGTACATTCAGAAAACAAAGGAAAAACAATGTACACAGAATGAGAGAAGCGTGTTCTGTCTGAAGGCACAGATACCTCTACGGGTGAGAGCGTATGGGGCAGAAGCGTAACACAGGGCCCAGCCGTGCAAGAACAGGGACTCGGGAAGGAAATGAGTGGGAATCCTTCCCGCTGTGCTCCTTGTAACTCTGTTTCGTATTAGAGTCTTAAAATGTGTCTAGCAAGCCCAGTCTCATCCGTGCTGAGTCAAAGACCGAGTGTTTCCTGTATGTACATAAAGGGTTATATAGTAATGTACAGCGGGCATGATTACGGAGTGTGAGGTTTGCCGTGAACTCTGAAGCGATACAGGCAGGTGTATTCGGGATGACCCCAGTTCGACAGCACACGCATCTCAATGATCTGAAAGGCCTGGTCGCTCTTCTCCTGGAAAAAAAAAGCAAAGTGAAACGTGCTCAGAATTTCACTGTAGCTCTATTCCAAAAGCTAGTAAGCAGCATATGAACTAAAACAAAATTAAATGACTGGTGTGGAACATAAAGAGCACGGAAGACTCGATTCACTATTTATTCCAACATAGTTTGACAGCAGCATATGGCTAAGCTAATAAAACTTGATTTTATTACTAGCTTGTTGCAATGCATGCTGGGATAGCTTTCCCTGAAAATGATACATTCAATGCTGAATTTGGCCCAAAATAAAAACTCACTATTTTTCTTCTGTTGCTGCCTACCTTTTGAGAAATCCTCATTTTATTTCTTTCCAAAATGTAGTTATATTTGTAATTTAAATTTTTTTTATTCCATTTTATTTGTTCAATTAAATGTTATTAACCAATAAGGATTTAACAATTGAATCATCTACTAAAATTTTAACAATAATAGTGCCCTATGAAATGTGTGCGTGTTTTTTTTGGTCCGTTTTAATTTTTTTGGTTTCTGAGTTTTATGAGTTAATACAAATTTATTATCAAAAACAATGGTAATAAAATGAATGCATAATATTTGAACAATTTAATCAATCTTTTAAAATATAAACCAACTGAACAATTCCTTTCATTTTTTGGCAAACAAAGTGCTGCACAACAGAGGTTTACAGTTTAAATGAAAACAAGGATGAAAAAAGGGAGTGAAATTCCTTTAAAAATGATCATTATTATTGTTTTGTTTTTTTTACTATGAGAAGTACATTCTACTGTAAAATTGCAATATATAGTATTTCTTTCATAATTTCTTATTCATTAGAATTTGGCCAAATCATGAAACATTCCATGTTATACAGTAAACTCTATTTTAATGACTGGATTCTGCAATTCTGCTCATTCTGTATGTACATATTTTACCATAACTGGAAAGATCTGGAGTGATGATCCATCTTCTTCATAGGTGTAGTCACCCAGCAGTTTCCCTTCCTCCTGGTATTCATCATCCAATCCCTGTGGATACAGACAGCAAGACTTACACGTTGCACAACATGGGATTATACACCAGCACTTAACACAAAAACTCACTGGGTTAAGCATAAATATATGCAAGTACACACTCATAAATCAGACACAAACAAGTGTGCATTCTTACATAGACAGAGAATCGGCGTGGTGCACTGCTGATGTTTCCAGAAGGAGAGAGGCTTTTGGGAATATGCTCCAGGCAGAAGGAGGTAGGGATCACGCTTAAAGACAGCCTGATCACCAGATAACCTTGGGAGCCTTTAAACGCCCAGCAGTTTCCTGGGTACATGTCCGGCTGTGAGGCAGACAGAAATTCACATCATACATCTTCTGTGTCTTACATCTTAGGACAAAATATATTTTTTTTAGTTGAAAATCACCTACATGCTTTCAATATCAAGACTCTATCCACCTCTATCTATTGGTTTGAGCTAAATAAAAGTTGCATTTACTGATACACATGATGCTGCTTCAGGTTATCATTCACAGGTTTTACCTGGATGACGACTCGTGGCGACTGTGAGAAGTACCACAGCGGGATTCCAAACAGGCTCATCAGTGCTGTTTTAGTCTCGTACGTCTCAGAACAGCGTGTGCTGAGGATACTGCCACCTGCACACACATCAGTCTCATGTAAAAGGGTTAGTGATGTTCATACGGGTTATGCGTTTTGTAGCCGCGTTTACCTCCAGACTCCAGAGCGTAGTCCACCTGTCCGGTGCGATCCTCAGAGTACAGCTTCAGCGCATGCTGGACGATCAGCTGGACTTGCTGAGGGGAAACACGGTCGTTATTAGAAGAGAGATTTAAATGACATTGGTATGTTAAATCCTCAAATACGGCCCATTAAATGCATTTTCATTTGATTGTTCTTTCCTCTTCACAGAATTTACTCACAGTTGCATAAGATGTCATTAACTCTTTCCCCACCAGCATTTTTGAGAAATGTTGCCAGATACCGCCAGCGATTTTGATGATTTTCACTAAAATTTGATGGCCTCCAGTATATTTTGCTGTATGAATACGAGACTCGAACCCACAACCTTTGGGTTACGAGTCCGACTCTCTAACCATTAGGCCATGACTTCCCAGTTTGAATACACAATACACCAAAATAAAGATCTACTTTTAAACATAAAAATCCATTTTATTCTAGCTTAAAGCATTCTTTTTTTTAATCAATACTTGAATATAGCTAGGTTTCATAAAAATTCATAATTTTGAGCAAAAAGGTGAGAAAATCACATTTTTATCAAAAACTACATCTGGATAATACTCAGTACGATTATTAAAGCATAAATCCAGTAAATCGCTTCCATCAATACCTCCAAAGCTTGCACAGACATATGCCACTTCCTGGATCAACACTTTACTCTGTAACATTATGCAGTTTTCATTTATATGCTGTCTATTGCTGATGATCGCATTATTTTTCACATGCATTTACATAAGAGATCGCTCGTTTCTCCATCCTGTTCACGTGTGTTTTTGTTCGGGAGGTTTTGTACTCGTTCAGAAGATGCGTAATTGCGCCCCCGAGTGTATAACCGTGAAAACACGAAAAGCCGTAAAAACTCGTATTTGGCGGGGAAGCGTTTTCTTGTAAAAGATGAGATAACTCGTCAATGGCGTGGAAAGAGTTAATATTGTAACAGACAGACTGCTTGTCATTTGATGTGTAATCAACTTGACATTTTAGTTAAGATGTGATATTAGCGAGTCCATTTTAAAAGAGCAAGACGTATACACTTCCCTTTTAAGTTTGGGGTCAGTAAGATTAAAAAAAAATTGTTTTTTTCTAAAGATGTATTTTTTGTTCACCAAGGCAGCATTTATTTGATCAAAAATACAGTAAGACTGTTGATATTGTGAAATATTATTACATTTTTAAAAATATCTATTTTCCTTTTTA